TTAAAAAGTGCTAATGCGACTAATGGAATGACCCATGGTTCGTCACGGAACTTGAGGTAAAACGGCACTTCTTGAACTGTCTGGTTGATGAATTCCTTGCCGGTTGTCAGGTTTTGATCTTCGTTAATGACCGTAAAAGTCTCAAGGTCCTGAACATCAGTGGCATTGTAAGTTGTATTGCTAAAGTCTGTGGCATTAGTGTCAGTAAAATTCGTTACTATATCAATTCCTTCCATCCGGGTAACTGGATGGTTTTTTGAAGTTGTACAATGGTGTTACTTCGGAATGGGCTGGCTTTATAACAGATGATTTAATCTGTGGGGAAGAAAAAAGGCAGTTTTAAGTATTATTAACTGTCAATTATTAAATCATAATGCATTTCATACATCATAAATTGTACTTTCAAAACAGATTCATGCGCAGTGGTGATTTGTTCTTTTATGTTAACATTTTAGTGAAAATAGAATAACATACAATTTTCACATTGCGTTCTTTCTTTAAGGATTGCAATAAAATAATTTCAAATCTCAATCCAAATAATGTGTAGAAATTGTGAAATAAAAATACGCTGCGATTTATCTTTTTATTTTTAAATTACAATGAAATAATTGTGCAACAATTCCCTCCTATTCTATGTTTCGCAAAACAATGGTCAAATGACAAAAACTACACTTGAGCTGACACCCTATTCTCCAAATTTCCACACCAAATTAACGTGAGAACTTTAAGCCTCAACAAACTGAATGTACATTAGTTTTCACCTTCAAGTACATGGCGAATCTTCAGTGGCACCGGGACTAGAACACACGACACGACAGCAATAATTTGGTGACGAATTCTTGAACATAACAATTCGGCTACTATACCCCTATGACTTAAAAAAATATTAAAAGACACTCATATAATGAGATAAATTCATTGAAAACAATTTCAAGCAAAGTGGAACAAGCAATTCCAAGCAATTGAAGCAAAGCGGAATAAGCTATTCCAATCAATTCAACCAAAATGGATCTTTTCATTAATTTTCATCAACCGATTACTGCAGCAATAATCAAAACGTATTTGCGTCAATGCCTCTTATGTACACATTATCTAATTAATGTAAACCATATGCATTCAGTTTATTTAATTTTCTTATCGCGTTATATTGTGTTTAATTATGCTGTCTGATTCTAAGAAAATTTGTGTCAAAATTTCGAGAGCTGTTTCCTACATAGAAATAAAAAGAAATTTTAAAGCTCTATTCAGTTATTCTCAACCAATATGGCACTTTTGTGTGCCGTCAAAATTTTGAAACGTGTCACCAAATTTTTTTAAAATTGTTAATTAGACTCCGAGAAAAAAATAAAATCCGAAACCGAATCATTCAGCTCTTTACTAGAAATAAACTAAAGTTATTCGTGGTGTATTTTACTAATTCTTTCGTGAATAGAGGGATATAAAAAATTTGATTGTTTTCGTAATCCATTTGTGATAACGGATACATCTGTACATGAATTAACTTTGAATGAAGAGGAAAAACTAATTTCGCTCAGTAATAATCGAGATTTAATTTCAAAGCATTCGGAAGAGTCAATTAATTCATTTGAGATTGAAACTACAGGCGATTATCACATAATACGCTAAAAAGCTTTAAAAATATTGTGTTACAATTTTCTACTTATTTGAGTTAATTCCAACTTTCAGCATTGACAAATATAAAAAAGATCGAGACTTTTGAATGTAGATAACGAAATAAGAGTGGCATTATCATTTTTGCGACCAAATATGAACGAAATTATCAGAAATCATGAAGCTCACATTTTCCATTAAATGAATTCTTATAATTAATTTGTAATTAGTTACTCAACAAACATTTTGTTGTCTTTGTCACATATACAGAGGCGTAACGTACATCTCCGTATCGAGAGAGGCCCAGGGTTCTAGGGGGCCCAAAGCCTGACTGCAGTCAAGTACCTACCCTTAGTAAAATGCAACTTGGGGGAGGGGCAAAACCTGACTTTGCAAAGGGAACCAAATGTTCTCAGTTACGCCACTGCATATATATTTTATTTTACCTAAAAAATTATCATCACAAACTATTTTACATAGTGTATTACAGATAAGTTGTTGCTGTCGTATGACAAGTGCAAAAAAGTCAAACGGGCCCAAAGGCATGCAGCACAGTTCTGGCCACATCACCGACTTTATCGGTATAAAAGGTATCATGGCAGCAGTTGGGGTCTACGATGAAGAGGGTCGAAGCAACAGAGATGCAATTGAAGAAATGTCCTGGATCCAGCTGAACTCCCAGCTAATGCCTGCTTTTTGTGTAGGTTCTAGAGCCATCGGCCATGATCTCTCATGCGCCCCTTCCGCATTCTGCTGATGGTAGTGGTGACAACACGGTCAAGATTAAGCTCCGGGAGGGGGGGGCTGTAACCCCTAGAGAGTGCGTCCCCAGGTGGCGGATAGGGGAATGCCTCCACTGGTTTTCTAGTGGGTGGTAGGAGGGAAATAAAATACCTTCCGTGGACCAACAGGTAGAAGTCCAACCTTATATGGCAACAGCACCGCTCAATGACAAGTGCACAACTATTACAGATAAGTACAATTCCTTTAAACTTATTTTATTGCCAGTGTACCGCCAAATTTTGAAATTGTTAAAACTTGTATCAAAATTCGTTGGGGCCTTTTTCTAGGGCACCTTACTATTTTACGATTTTTTCTTATGAATTTTGGGACCTCTGAACCGTGGGGTCCCCGTGTCATTGACATACGGCAGTAGCTACGCCTCTGTTCCCTTCATAGAATTTTTTTTGTTTTAATCATACCTCGATCAATCTTAGCATGTAATATATCTTACACACACCCCTCCTCCATCTGTTTTTTTTTTGCGAAGATTACGTTATTAGTAGCAGTGTAGAAATAAAGATCCCTAAAAGACATAGCTGCCGTAAGAATGGTGTATATTCAATATATCGAGTCTTCCCACCCGAATTATACGACGATACCATCAAAATAGTATCCTTGAGGAAATTCTTATCGGACAAAGAAACATCTCAAGGTTTTTCATTAATTTATAATTATGTCTCACATCTTTCTGCGCAACATTTGTAACATATCACGAAACGAAAGAATTGTAATAGTTCATTCGTGTACCTCCTTCCAAAATGTCAAACGTAAGACACGTTTTCCTTTTCTATCTCAATTCGGTTGTTCACGTTTGGCGTTTTGGCGATAATATCGATAAGTAAAGAAAGTAGAAGTATTACAAAAAGAGGAAAAGGTTTGTATTTCGCTGCATGCTCCTAAGAATAAGCGTGATGACAAGAAGATAAATTTTTGGTGATAACAAATACTTTTAGAATAACTGAATGGGGAAAAGAACTACTACGTTTCATTTTATTTTTTCTTGAAGAGGAGAAATGTATCTCATGTTTTGGAGAAAATAATTTAGTCGTCAATTTAAATGAATTTCGGAGGCTATTTTTAGATTATAATTCCTTACAATTATTACAATGCAACAAAAGTCGTTATTTGAAAGTCTAAAAAGAAAAAGAAAAAATGTTACTTGAAAAACTTAAAAAAAAAAAAGATTACAAATGATATTGTACGGAAATTTAAATACGCTTGTCGCGTTTTTAACTGAACTTGTCTTAACCGGTTTTTGGTTCAGTTGATGGCTCAGTTGCGAAAGTACTCGTGCTGTATGAACTCGCATAGTGACATCAATTCTAGGTTTCAATTTTCTGTTCAACATTTTGTTCATTGGAGCAGTAAGTATACTATAAAACGGAAAACTAAAAAAGAATACTCTATAAGAAAGTTATTCTTATTTTTTCTCTAATAGGGTTGCAGATTGGTATTTTTACCTTTGCAGACCTAGTTCATTCCCCGGGAGCTGGTAACCCTTTTTAGTGCGGCACCATATAGGCAATACCAATTGCCGCAAGTAATTTTGACGACCAGCTTCCTCCCCAGAGGGAGGCACCTGAGCTCTGACGATGCGAAATTGAACTTAGGAATTAAATTTTGCCGAGAGCACCCAAGCCAAACGGGCACTCAAGGAATTTTTACATGCCTCATCTTCATACGACATGAACGCTGTCGATTTTTGCATCATGAAAATCCACCGACTTAGGTCGGGGTGGAACCGGCAACCTTAAATGCAGAAGGCCAGCGACTAACCAACTACGAAGTTTCATTTCCAAATACTAATATGTTTGAAAACGTTTGAAATTAATGCGCTTCAGTAATTTTAGCTTAAATAAATATCCCCATTAGATGATTTTTTAAAAAAAATCATCAAAAAGTGCATCATTAAATAGTCATCATGATGTGTTCGTCTATAAACTGCAAATTTGTGCTAAACGGTCTCCTTCAAAGTACTATTAAGTAGTAGATGAACTGTAATTATTTTGTGTAATCAATTGCTTTTTTTTTTCTTTTTGAATATTTGTACTACTTAAATTAAGTTAATCTCTAATCATTTTTACCAATCGCTATCGAGAGTCTGGTTTTATAATGAGTGAAAAAGGGGTAGTTTATTATGTAAATAATTTTCATAGCTTGAAATCAATATTTCATAAAAATGAAAATTTTAAAATAAATAAAAGTAGCTTTTTGCCACAATTCCAGAGAAAAATTTGAAATTATTATTAGTAGGTTGTTGGTTTCATCTTTATAAGCTTTAAACAAGTTGGAATTATACAAATAATATAAAAATTTATTTAAGTCAATTCCTACTTAGTTGAACAGAGAAAAATTTTATTTTAGTTACTTTTAATTAAATAATTACAATTAATATATATATATACATATGACAGAATCACAATATTAAGTGGCAAAACAGAAAGCGATTTTTTTTTCCTTGTTATTTTCCTTTTTTCCTTTCAATTTAGAGTGTTGGATTATTATTTTTGATTATTACTATATTTATTCATTGATTAAATTTAATTATTCCAATAAAATAGTACACACACACAGTAAACAAGAAGTCACTGCCTTAGAAATTAGGTCATCCCAGGTGGGAATCGAACTCACGACCTTTGAATTACATATCCAACGCGCTATCCATTGCTCGACAGAGACACAACGAGCGACTTTCCTCCTTATATATGGTGTTAAATTATTATTTTTGTTTGTGGTATTTATTCATTTATTACATTTAATCAATGCATTAGTATTTGAAAAAACTGTATTAATATCAAGCATCCTCCACTACAAGTTTATAAAACTGTATTAGAACTTGAGTGGAAGAATAAATAGTATTTTATTAACGATTGAAAATTCGAGCAAGATATATATATATATATATATATATATATATATATATAGATAGATAGATAGATAGATAGATAGATAGATAGTGTAAATTCTCTACTAGTGAGAGATGAACCTTAATCAAACAAAACCGAAAAAAATTGAGATTGTAACATATACATACACACACATATATATGTATATATAATCCATAAATGTATGCATATAGCTATAAAACCTAAGTATAACTAGTCAAGATAGTAGAAAATATTAGCTTCAGTAGTACAATAACAAACTCCTGGTCTTAGAATGTGATTGCAGGTTTTATATATATATAGGGAGAGTGTAAACTAATAGTAGGGAATGAAAAAGAACTTCACACTTTAAATAAATGTTAAAAATAACTTAAATAATTAAAATTATTATAATACATAACCATTTCAAAAATAAATAATATTTAAAATATATTCTAAATATTAAAAATAAACTGACTAAAGAAGAAAAGAATTTGAAATACATTTAAATATTTACTAAGCTCAAGTTTTGTCATATTTTTCAATTTGAGGGATTATAATAGGGAATATTAGAAATAAAAAAAATATAAATAATTTTGAAAATTTTCTGTATTATACACATACTATTTATTATAAAATAGAAATTATTTGTAAAAAGTAAACTTTCTGTAAAAATGTAGAGTTTGAATCTGTGAAATAATGTAAACTTAAAAAACATAAATATATATATATATAAATTTTCAGGATTTTTGAAATTTTTGTTAAGCAGCTACTAGTAAAATGCAGATGAGAGAGTTTATTTTACCTTTATTTATTTATTTTTTGATTTTGAAATCCAATTAAACAAGTAAAATAAAAAAAATTTAAGTCAATTCCTACTTAGATCAAAGAAAATTTTTATTTTAGCTACTTTTTATTAAATAGTTACAATTAATATAAATATGTATATACATATGACAGAATCACAACATTAAGTGGTAATTAATTTTTATTAATTATCATTAAAGTATCGTATTGTCATCCAAAACAATCGTGTTTATAAAATTTCAGTTTAACTGAATGCTTTAAAACGTGACAAAAAAAAACCTTTTCAAGTTTTGACACAAGTCGCTAACGTGGCTGTAATTGTAATTCTTTAAATAATTAGTTTTAATCAATTAATTTTTATTAATTATAATTAAATTATTGTATTTTCCAAAATAATCATGTGTATCAAATTTCAGCTCAATTGAGCTCTTTAAAATGTATTTTATAAGCGATTGAAAATTCCACCAAGATAAATAAATAAATAAACAAATAAATAAATAGAGAGTGTGAGTTAATAGTAGGAATTGAAAAAATAGCTTGCTTAATTTCATGAAATTTTTAATTTATTTACATAACGTGCTGAAGAAAACGGTTTTATAGCAAATGCATATTATTGTCCCTTATTTTAAATCTCACAGTTATTTGCTAAAAAAGGAGTAACAATATATGAAAATTCAGTGTATGATGAAACAATTGCTAAATTAATGCTTTCTTCTAAAGGCATTGTTTCATACTTTCCTTTAGAAAATATATGCTTCATTTAACTACATTTGGTTGCTTAAGAACTTTTGTTTAGCGTGGAATTTCCCTTAATTCTTTTTTGAATCGGAAGGATACGTAAGGATTAATAAGAAAATGTTGTTAGATCATCACAATCATGAGACATTATCATTTTCTCACATTTTACGTATGAAATCGTCTTTCGTTTTAAATTCACATTCAAACCCAAAATATTTATTGTTACTTGTTTTTCTAATAAAATATTTATCTAATTCTCCAAAAATAGCGTTAATCTAAACGGAAAGTTTACTAGATTAAATAAGTTGGTTATTTTTGTTTTCAAGAGAAAATAGAGTTGTTAAATGGTTAAAAAATATTTGAAACATTTGTTTCAAATTCAAATTTTGTAAAGAAAAATTTCAGACTATTTGCGTTTTTTTATAAGTAGGATTTCTAAGCGGACTTCGCGTTACCTTTTCATTCAAACCATTTTTTGTTAAGAATTCTTTTTCTATCAATCATGACTAAAAGGATATTATCCGTATTAGAAATCGGTGATGAGATTTAAGGAAAATAATTTAATTAAAATTTATAATTTTACTGAATGTTAATTTTATTTAAACAAGTAATTCTTTTGCAAAATCTCAAAACCATTTTGATATTGCATATATTCCTTTTAATATTAAAGTCTTGTAATTTTTTTAAAAAAATGTTAACATATTTAGTTGAATGTTCACTTCAAAAGGTTTTTCGCGTGTATAGAGTTTATTAATGATACATTTTTTTTCTGACGCTCCACAGTACTTAAAAAAAAAACTTATTTCCTCTTCCAAAACTAGTGCTATAAATATATAATACTTTCAAGAAATGTTATTTTTATATATTGTTTCTTCTGAAGTAGTGTTATTATTCAAATAAAAAAATAGATAAAATAGAATAATTTTAATAACTTATTCATTTCGAAAGTAACTAATAGATGGCAGCACGAAAAAAGTGTAAACAGTTTCATTTGTTGACATTGAATAGGTAAGAAACAAAAATTATGAATGCTTCTAAAAATGTATGTAACTTTCATTAACTGCAAGCAAAAATAAACAGTTTTACGAATTACAAATAATTATAAAGTACTTAAAATTAAATTTACTGATCACTGGAATCACTCGAGACACAGAAAATTGAAGCACGCTGAATTCGAAAATGTATATCTCTACACAGGTCTTCAAAGGTTAAGAAACAACATATATTTCTTCTCTCGATTCTATAAAATTCATGGTAAATTTAGAAAAATGAGCTTTTTAAAAAATAATGCCTCATATTAAAATTGAAAACTAAAGGTTTTGTGTCTATCATACTATCTTAAAAAAAAATGTAATTTATAAGGGAAAAAAGCATGAATTACCGAAATTTCAAAGGCTCCAGTTCTAATAGATTTCCCACTACCATTTAAAAATAACATTCATTGCCTTCAAATATGGTAAACATATTAGAAACCTATTTTCTTCTTATAAATATTGATTGTCAAAAATAAAAATCGATTTGAAGTCCGCTGAACTTTTTTTCATATGTAATGAATATGTTAAGCCTAGTGGATGAGTGGTTAGTGTATCGCGCTTCCCCACTACAGATCCGAGGTTCAAACTCCGGCCTGGGCAAGGTTAATTCAGCCTTTCATCCCTTCAGTGGGTCGATAAAAGAGTATCAAGCTTGCTTGGGGACTTAACACTAGAGGTTCACGTCAAACTGACCACCTGACCGGAACATCTGCTTATGCACCTCAGGGCCCAAGGTCGCGTGAACTGAGTTGGGCACAGTAAGCATTGGCTTTCATAGGCTGTTGCGCCACTGAGTTAAATGAATGAATATTTTAAGAAAGAATGTGGCGGTATTGAGGATAATTCATTTTTGCTTATTCAATTTTTGCTGATGTTTACGTTACACAAGAGCATTGCATATACATTTATTGACCTTTGTAATTATTTCTCATAACTACTGATCTTAATAATTTTTATGAATATTAAATTAAACAAACAAAAAATATTATTATAATTTTTTTTGTTTTGTTAAAATAATGAACAATTTTCACAAAATTTTCTTGGTGGTTAGTTCCTATAAATTAAACAAATAAAATAACATTGCTTGTTTAATAATAAGAACCCATACTACTTCATAGTGTTCATAGGCGTTTATTAAACCTGCAGGAAATACAATCAAATTCTAAATAATATTTTGTATACTAAATAATATTTTGTATACTAAATAATATTTTGTATTTAAAATTTATTTTCGGGAAAAGCATACAGAAGGAAAAGGAAAAAAAAAATCAGAATAAGAAAGTCTGAAGTCATTTTCAGGCAAACAGTTTTGTGAAAAATTCTTAAGTTATATTTGAGAAATGCACGTGTATTTTTTATTGATTGTCTTAGCATTCTTTTAGATATTCTTTTTTTAATAGTAAAGTTAAGCACGAGAGAGATAAGGTAGTCATACTTTATCGCTTCATGAAATTCCTAAATTCAAAAAGAAATGCTTTGAAATATATTTACTTCTAATATATATAGAATTTTTTGAAGTTTAGTATGAAAATATATTTCATTCCATTGATACCTATGGCAAATGCGTGACACGTGGCTGCATAAAGAAATACTATAATGAGTCATCAACATTTTTACCATCCCTGAGAAAAAAAAGGTACTCTTCCATGTTACTTTTTAATAATTTCAAATCGATAATTATCTCCTTATTTTGCCATGGCACTTTAGCTCGAATTACGCAAATTTTTTTTATTTTATGCCTTATTTTCTAAAATTCTTCCATTGTTCATAGAAATATTTCTGAAAATCAGGATAATTTTCGACTTTCGAAGTATTTTTAGACGGATTACAGATAATGAAATACTCTTATTATGAGCCCGAAAGATTTTAAAAATCGGATAATTTTGAAATGTCCAAGGGGTAAAAATATTTTGGAATCTTGGAATTTTACAACCGTTCAGAAAAAAAAGGGAAAAAATACAATTTGCGTAAATTAAGGGGAAAAGAAAACAAACACCCAATTGCAAGTGCTACGCATAAGATAAATTCTAAGCGCATCGAGGCAAATACTAAGTAGGACAAATGTACGACTTTGGTAAACTGACATAACTACTTCACCAAACTAGAACACTGCTAAAACACGAGCTTACAGGAAATTAAAGCATAAAAACAGAAAAAGAGATGATACAACTACCATTCAATATAAATAACATCTAACGTAAGTAAATTTTATCAAAGCCATTCAAAACAGAAAAAA